GAAGGAAGGAAGGAAGGAAGGAAGGAAGGAAGGAAGGAAGGAAGGAAGGAAGGAAGGAAGGAAGGAAGGAAAAGAATGAAACAAACCAGGCAGAATGTTGCACACCTATAATCCCATCATTTGGAAGGTGGAAGCAAGATGATCAGTAGATCAAAGCCAGTCTCAGCTGCGTAGCAAATTCAAGGTCAGACTGAACTACACAAGACCCTGTCTATATAATAATAATAACAATAATAATAATACTTTAGTGAGAAAAAGACAAATATATTGTCCAAAATAACAAAAAAAATAAGTAAACCTTTAAATAATGCATTGTCTCTTAAAGGAGTTATTTGTAACTTAATGTAAATCAAAGAGCTAGTATTTTTGAGAAACACACTTTTGTTAATGTTAATAACACTAAAAGCTAGTTTAAAACAGAAAAAAAAAAAAAGCTAATGTTTCACACTAACCTTTTCCATGTGGGTTTTCTTGACGTCTGAAGCACGGCTGTGTTTGTCAGATGATGACGAGAAGAAAAAGAAGAACCTGCTGGAATGCGAGGACTTGCGTTCTGTGGATGTGTGCTTTACGTAAGACCAACTACTATTGTAAAACTCAAAGTTGAAATCATTATTTACTTTGACCTGTAAGGAAAAGAAACGTTTTTACTATAAGTCCTTGGTATATATTCAAGGTGCTTTTGTTGTATCATTCAAGATGCATGCTTTCTTCACACAGTCTCCCACAAATACCCACCTTTGCACTTACACAAAATAACTATGACTCAAAAAGTCAGGCCTGTTTATAGAAGCTGTTTGTTCTAAGAAAACTCTGCTGAGCAGGAGCTACAGGATCAATAATGGCTACTCCAAGCAATTCACAAAACACATTTGTATACAAACATATTCCATTTTCTTTACTCATAATTTAACCCAGAAGTGAACAAATTCATACAGCTATACCAACAGAGAACTTGAAGCATTTGGCTCTTGATTTTCCATATTGAGAAACAAAGAAACAAATAGGTGATGGGAAACAATTAGATCATTTGGATTCTGTGACATGACGCTAGTTAAAACTTCCTGATTCTGCTGAACTGATGAAAAAATTCAATTATCTTTTGCCAGTGTTAAATGATAGAAGAAAGGACTACCCCACAAGAATATTAAAACCGACTACACCCCGCCCCTAGAGGCATTGCAGGTGTGGCTGCTGTGTCACACGTGTGTCAGAAGGTGGCAGAGAGGAACGAGGCTACGCTCTGTCTTCTGCCCTGTGAACATCTGAACGATTAGTAGCCTCACACTCCCTGGAAAAAGAGAGCCTGAGATGACCATCAGTCCAGCTGTATGCAGGCCTAGATGGGCTCCCAGGATGGGGAGCAAGCTGGAGATGAGATGAACCTCATCTGGGGCTGAGAGGTCAGGAATAGGGCTGTGCGGACAGGCCCAGGAGAAGAGCAAACCCAAGACAACCACCAGTCTGACACCATGGGACCCAGACAGGATGCTAGTCTGAGATGCCCACCAGTGCAGTGCTGTGCAGGCCTGGGGGTGGGAGGGGAGGCAATACCATGCTTGAGATGACTCCTAAACAGTGACATAATGCACAGGTGGAGCCTAGCTCTCCTGAGACCACTCCTGAGAGAACCCTAGACACTCAGAGACCCCAGGTGCCACTAAGAAAAGCAAGTAAGTGGTGGAGAAATGGAAGAGAAAGATACAGGCACAATGAAGAGGGGCAGAACTGGAGACGCAAAGGTAGTGAGGAACACCCTGATATAAGTAGCAAGTAATGCCAACTGGGACCACGGTGGGGTCCTGGCCTGTGCTGCCACTGGGGGCCATGTCTGGATCCATACCCCTGCAACAGCAGGGGTCTGTCACCACCAAAGGCCAGGTAGATGTCCCCAGGAGATGTTGATGTCTGAGGGCTATACAAAATTGGCCTTATCCCTCACCTGGGCTTCATGGGAGAGTTGACTTGAGGGTGTGAAAGCAGGAAAGATGATCCTACCCCTAACCATCTGTAGTACTCAGAAGAGCAGGTTTTGCACATTGCCCGAGAAGAACAGTATAGCTGGCCCTGGTTGCACAGGTTACAGATGAGCCAGCTGCAAGGGTATGAATGTGAGAAAGCTGGTCCTGCCACTTGTCTCCCCTTGCAGTGACATAGACGAGGAAGAAATACTCTCCTCCTCCCTCACCCTTCACTGCCTGTGGCAGACAGAGGACTTGGCCCTGAGTCATGAGGGCAGGAGAGATGTCCCTGCCTCTCACCAGCTGCAGCACAGGGCAGGCTCTGTACCTTGCTTGGGAAGCAGGGTAGAGCTGACCATGGCCAGGGGGGTGCAGGCTAGCCAGCCTAAAGGGCATGTGGTGACATGGGCAAGGGAGAGATACCATTCCTCACTGTCACCTCTTGCTACTTACAGTAGGAAGGAGAGATAGGCCTAGGATCATGAGAGCAGGAGAGCTGTCCCTGCCCCTCACCAGCTGCAGCACTTTGTAGAGTGGGCAGCATAGTAGAGCCAGCCCTGAACATGGGAATTGCAGGTGAGCTGGCCCTGAGGGCATGAGCACAGGAGAGCTGACCCTGACTCATGTCTGCTACAGAAGAGGAAGAGATGCCCTCCTCCCATCCCTCAGCCCTCGTCACCTACAGCAGGCGGGAGAACTAGCCTTGTGGTCATGGGGGTGGTAGAACTTGGCCATGTCCCTCACCTTCTGCAACATTGTGTAAAATGCAACTGTGCGGACTGCAACCTGGGCAGCTAGGTAGAGCTGGCCCTAGTTTCAGGGATTGCAGGTGAGCCAGCCCTGAGGGCACAAGAACTGGAGAGATGGTAGACTGACCAGCTCAGATACCTCTCAGGACCAGATCTAGGGCTTTGAATTGGCCCAGCTCGATGCCTACCTCATCAGTGAACTGCTGCAGTACGTGAAGGGGCTGGTTCTACATAAGCAAAGCTACAGGATCTCCATGACACAGGGTAACAACAGGATATCCAAGAGGAGTCCCGGTGAGGTTCCAGTATTGACAGTGTAGCAGAAGCCAGAGGCCTTGTGCCAGACCAACAAGTCATTGCAATGATCATTTGCAAGTAGGGAAGTGTGGACAAAAGGGTACACTGTGGGACACACAGTGACACACTGTAACAAGATTTTTTTTGTTGGGGGGTTGCAAGGGTGGAGGGTAGGTAAAAGAGAAGGGAGAGGTGAGTGGGATTGGGGTGCATGATGTGAAATTCACAAAGAACGAATAAAAAAAATTTTAACACTACAGGTTAGTCACATGTGGCAGAGAAGTGCCTTTAGTGGAGAGACGAATGACTTGTCTGTACTTGATTTTTTTTTCCCTTGCACCAAAATGGTATGAGCACAAGAGCTGGCAAGTGTCATAAACAGAGCAAAAATCCTGTGGAAAGCATGATGGGGAACACTTTAACCTGTCTCCTGTGTAAAGGGTACCCAACATCAAATCCAAACAATCTTAATATATAACTATAGGCACTATAGAGACTTAGTTTATTGATATTCTAGGCAACAAATCAACTAAAAATGTGAGTTCCCATAGCATGCTAAAGAGCTTCCTTTCTCAGTTTCTAGTTTATGAAGCAGGCAAATTGGAGTTCCCCTTCCACAAGCATTTTTATTTCACACACATCTGTATTTATGATCAAAGCATTAATAAACACCGACAGAAAAGATTAAAAACGATGAATTCCTAAAGCAACACTGAATAGTATAGAAAATGATGTACCTATCTAAATGATGTTTGAAAAGGTAAATATTTGTAATGTTGAATTCAATGGGGGAAAAAAAGAAGATATGACTATCAAATTTTTACTATCATGAAATGGTACCCCTTTTCTCCAGGAGAAAAAAAGATCAAAACTAAAACAGACCAAAGTACCAAAAAATATTACAACTTCAACACATGTTAAAAATTATGAATGAATTGAAATTTAGGTTCTGTAGATCAAGGAAACTAATCAACAGAGAGAAAAGATGACCTACTCAATCACAGAAATCCTAGCTATAAAACTGACAGGGATTAATATGTAAATTCTATAAAGAACTCAACAAATTTAACATAAACACACACCAGAAACTCTAAAAAAGAAATCTGTGATGTGGTAGATATAGGCAGGAAGAGATAGCAGTAGTGAGAAATAAATGAGTGCAACCACTATGGAAATCTGTATGGGCATTCCTCAAAAAAATTGAAAATTGATCTACCATATGATCCAGGTATGCCAATTCTGGATATATAAACAAAGGAATCTAAGTCAGGGTACTTCAGAGATACTCAGCACAATTGACAATGTCAATTATATTCACATATGATTATATTCACATAACCAAACTATGGAATCAGCCTAGAAGTCCATCAGAAGATGAATGGATGTAAAAAATGTGGCATATACAAATATATATGTACAAAGAAGCCATAATGAAACCTGTTTTGTATGCTAAAACTCAAAGAAAATATGTACTCTTTACATTATACTTAGTATTTTTCAATAAAATAATGAAATTATGTCATTTGCAAAAAAATATGTAATAGATAGATATACATAAATGGAAGTGGATATCATTGTTAGTGGAATAAGCCAAACTCAGAGAGTCAAATGCTGTGTTTTCTCTCATATGTGGAATCTACAGTTAAAGATGATAGGTAGATAGATGACAGATGATAGATATAAGGATAAATATATAACAGATAGATGAATAGATAGATAATAGGTGTATAGATTAGATTAAATAGATAGAAGATAGATAGATAGATAGATAGATAGATAGATAGATAGATAGATAGATAAATAGATAAATAGATAAATAGATAAATAGATAAATAGATAGATTAGATAGATAATATGTGGATAGATTATAGAGATAGACAAATAACAGACAGATGGAAAGCTAGATAGATAATAGATTAGATGGAGAGCGAAAGAGAGAGATGTATAAATGACAAATGAGAGAGAGGAGGGACAGAGGAAATGAAATCAGAAGGCTACTTGGTGAAAGGAAGGACATCAGTAGGAAGAAGGAACACAGGAGGTAACATAAGTGAATAGGAGTAAAGCAAGATGAAGATACATATGAAAATATCATGATAGAAGCATTGAGGCTCACATGGGTAATATGATTCATCTGAGACTGAAGCTACTTTGTGAGTTCCAGGCCAGACTGAGTTAGAGTAAAACTATCTCAAAGAAAAACTAAATACAGAGAGAAAGAAGGAAAGTATAATCAAACATTGTTTCATATGCACACATACTAAATGCAGAAAACAGAAAATATTTTTGTTGTTGTTTGGTTTGGTTTTCAAGACAAGATTTCTCTGTGTAGCCTTTAGCTCTCCTGAAACTCACTCTGTAGACCAACTCAGAAAGATATGACTGCCTGTGCCTCCTGAGTGTTGAGATTAAAGGCACCACCGCCTGGCTGAAAGTATGGGTTTTAACATGGCTAATTTCATAAGAATATTATTTTCATTATGTACAACTACACAAATATACACACAGAAAAATAAAATGAATGTGACAGTTTTCCCAATCACTACATTGTTTCTGGACCATTTGGTTTCCTATAAACAATATTTATGTTATTTTATTTGCATTTCTTTTGAGAAATAA